GCCACCCCAGATGTGTCCACCAGGGTCCCCCACTGCATCCTCGCTGCCCAGAGCTGCAGGCAGCCTGGGTGTGGACATCAGAGAGGAGGGACCCGCGGACTGCGCACCCAGACACGCCTGAGGAAACAGTACAGGCTGGGAGCCTGCTGCCTGGGGGATCCTGCCCACTTGAGGGGGCTGCCCACTTGGGGGGAGCCTGCCATCTGGAGGAGCCAGCCCACTTGGGGGGAGCCTGCCCTTTTGGGGGGAGCCTGCCCGCCTGGGGGGAGCCTGCCCGCTTGGGGGAACCTGCCCACTTGGGGTGAGCCTGCTCACTTGGGGGGAGTTTGCCCGCCTGGGGGAACCTGCCCACTTGGGGGGAGCCTGCCCACTTGGGGGGAGTCTGTCTGCCTGAGGGAGCCTGCCCACTTGGGGAAGCCTGCCCATTTGGGGGGGAACCTGCCCAAATGGGGGAAGTCTGCCCGCCTGGGGGAGCCTGCCGTCTGGGGGGATGCACAGGTGAGGTTGAGCTCGGGTTGGCGGGGGCCGGGGGGTGGGGGCTGTCTTGGCAGGTGGGAGAGGCGCCCGCCCCAGCCGGGGGCTCCAGGCGCATAGTCTGTCCAGGGCACAGCAGAGCGAGTCTGTGTGTGTGAACTTCACCTTAAGGAAAAAGAACCACCAAGATCATCACGCCAGGGATGGGGGGTGGGGGGCGGGGAGGAAGAGAGGCAGCAGGAACGGGGGCTCTCTGTGCTGGGTGCTGGCTATGCCGCTGCTTGCTTCGTGTGTAACTGAAACGCGCCCCCATAAAAAGCGGGGCTTCTGCCCCCCACAGGGAAAGGCGCGGCCCCGTGGCCGGGACACAGTGGCGTCCTGCACCGTGGCGCCGGCGTCAGAATTCATGGGCGTCAGTGAGGGGCTGTTTTTAGTTCAGGATTCTAAATCCCGCCACCCGCAAGAAGCCCCACACTGGCCGCTGGGTCCTGGCCTCGTCCCAGCGGGACGAGGGTCGCCCAGCACTCGCCCAGCCGCCAGGGAGAGTCAGCTTCTCTGACCCCCCCACCCCCGGGGCCTGGGCCTCTGAGTCCCACACCCCCTTCTGCACCTGCTCTGGCTCCCCACACCCACCCCTGCAGTCTCTTCTCTCAACTCCGCAGTGGGGAACGCGGGGTCAGCCCTTGGCCTCAGAGCTGTGTGGTGTCCTGCAGGGCTTCAGCCCTCACTGCCCTGGGGCCTCACTCCACGCCCCCGCACGGTTTGTAAACTGAGGCACGGTGCGCACCATCCCGGGAGAATCCTGACACCTGGCGGGCTAAGACCCCGGGGAACAGCCTGGCGCCCACGTGAGGGCCCCTCGCTCCAGTGTGATGAGAGAAGCGCTGTGTTCACGCCTAGCGGCTGCCTCATAAAAATACAGAGACATTCGCACCGGCACTTACTGAGCGCTGAGTACCAGAGCTTAGGAGCCGCCTCCCGGGGCTGCGCCCCCTGAATCGGCCCTGGCACCCGGGAGGTCTGTCTCACCCGCATGTACAGAGGAGAAAATGGAAGCCCAGAGACGTTAAGTCATTGCCCGAAGGCGCACAGCCAGCGCGGGTCGGTGTCTGCAGCTGCCCCTGTGAGCGCAGGCAGACTCTGCCAGGCAGAAAGGGAGGGTGTCCTGCCAGCAGGAGCGCTTCCCTGCTGTATGCGGCCTTCAACACTTAACGCATCTTCACAAATACACAAGTGCGTCTCGCGTACATGCCCACCCTTCCAGCAGACTTTCCATCGACGCAGAAATAGCGCAGTTTCTGACCTGGCTCCTCCCCCGAGCCACAGCGTGAGCATCTCCCAGCAGCCCGGCCCGCGTCCCCTTCAATGGCTACGAAGCCGCTCCTCGGGAGAGTGCCGAGCGCGGCCTTGCCCTCACTGTCGGTTTCCAGTGTTTCTTTAATGAAGGGTGATCAGGGACAGCTCTCGGCCTGAGGCACAGCAGTTCCAGTGTTTCCGGGGACCCAGGCTGTCTACAGATGCTCCCCACTGCCCCCCAGGTCCTTCCTACCTGCCACCGCCAGAGACCCCCCACCCGGGCCCCAGCCTGGCTGGGCTCGGGCTGCGCTGACTCGCCAGGGGCTGCTTGTTGCCTGCAAGCCGGGGGCAGCCTCTGCCCAGGCCTGTGTCCCTGGGTCAGCTGTGGGTCAGCCAGTCCCACCCCCCCCAACCCCTTCTCTCTACCTGGTGTCAGTGGACCCCAGGGGTTCCTAATCCCATGCATTCTCTCCCTGGCTCAGCAGGGCGAAGATCAAGTCTGTGGGGTGGGTGGCCCTGAACAAAATGCGCCCCACTTGGAAGCCTGCTTGATGCTACTGCCCTGTGCTTCCTACTG